ATATATATACTGCACAATTTATGTACAAGTTGTTTGATTGCAGAAAAACGTGAAAAAAAAACTTTTGCTTGAACGCTGACTCAGCTTTCTCATAATTGAGGGCGACTAGAGTTGTTATTTTTTTGTTTGTTTGTTATTTTTTAGAGAATTTAGGATACTATTTCTTATTGAAAACATGAAGTGGTTCACTTAAATAACCTCAGATCTCCAGGCTGGATCATGTAAAGGAAATATTGAGATTGGTCAATGAAGCTCTTTCAGGAAATAAACCTTTTAAGTTTAAACTCATAACACCTAACTAATCATTCATTTTCAACCCCTAGAACTTCTTTATATTAGCTGACTTCATTAATCATGACAACTGAAAACATGAAACTTTTATAACAGAAAAGAACGTGTTTATTTATGACGGCACAAAAGTAAAACGCATTCAAGGAACACGTGTGGCAAATGAAAAGTGACCCATTCTGACATAACATTAATCTAATAGAAATATTACATTCTGTTGGTAAACACTAAAGCTGTGTCACTTGCCTTCTGTTTGTTTCTCTGCAGACTCTAACAGTGTTTCCTTTCAGAAAGAACACGATCGATGACTCACAAGAAGTCGACAGCAGGTTTCAKAGATTAGAGCTAACAGCAGATGGCATTCTGCCACCCACCGTGAACGGACGGCCTGACTTAACGAGACACGTCGAGTTTGATGAAACATCTTTCAATCAGAGTAAACAGCTGACTTGTCAACACTTTGCCTTTTTTTCCCCCCACACGCTTCAGGGTGATTAGTTCTCAAAGAAAACGGCTCACTTATCAATCACATCAAGTACACTCGGGTCTTTTACCTGCAACGTTCGACACACCTGGTGAAAGTTCACGGCAACTCTTTCACTTTATCTAATATTGTAGATCAGTGATCTGAATTGGCGGTGAACGTTTTTGACAGTGTGAGCAAACATTAAGTTTCAGTCAAAGCTTTTGACACAAATTCCTACCTTTTTTCCTTTAAAAATAGTCTTTACTCCCAGGCAGGGATTAGTGATCTTTAACCCCTTTCTGGGACACACYCTTACATTCTTATTTGAGAAGCACTTGTTAATCCATTCCCATGGCCAAAAGGCAATCACATCCCCTTATGTCTGCTGTAGATAACTGTACCAAATGTTTGCCACGAGAGACACCATCAGCTCCCACATAATGAGCCAAACAGACATTGATTTATTGGGGTCAGCTGCAATTTGTTGGTAGCACCACCGCTTCCAGTGGCTGGCCTTATTCTGACACTCTGAGGGCATGGTGTTGCAGAATTTATGGACACGTTGTGCATTTCTGAGAACCTGAGAAGGCATTCTGTAACACAGCCGTGGTGATTTTGTTTGTTTCTTCTCTCTGTCCTCTCAGCCACTTAGCCGATTCAGACAAAATGCTGCCTTTTATTTTTATTTTTTCTTGTAATTATGTGTTTGACTGTATCTGTGAGATTGTATGTCTGCACCATTATTAAAATATCTCATGAACCACTGGACTGATTTTAATGGGTCTCCCAGAAATCCAATCATTTGTAATATTACAGGTGATTAACTTTTAGAGTCAACCTRGTCCAAAATGTCTGACTTTATTTTGCAAACACATAAAATATTATAACTCAGGCAAACTTACAGGCATTGAGCTATTATTTGATGTGGTAGTAGCTGAGAATCATCCCCAACACCTACTCCAAGCATAAACTGATCACACATTTTTGCCATTAACTGCTGGGGTCAACTGTGCCAGTCTGTTAGCAAAATAATTCATGAGCCTCTGGACACATTCAAGCACGTAGGATGACGAATGAAATGCATATTCACACACAACAGACTGTTTATATTTCTGCAGGGAGACAGCTGTGGTGGAAAGGCTGTTCCTAAAGCTGTTAATTTTATTTTGGAGGATTCTGTAGCTCCTCCTACAGGCCATTCCTTCAATGAATGCTAAGCATTTAATATTTAATTAGGTCTATTTATTTGTTTCATCATCACCTTTTCATGTTTAATTTTGGGGAAAAAAAGTGCAATACATTTGACACAAAGTACTAAATAAATGTTACTTTTGGGGTCTCTTTTGTAAAGTGGTCTGCTGCCTTATGATTTGTTGTTGTGTTATTTAAATTGTAATATTTCTTTGTCGGGATCTTTGTGTGTTTTACAAACTATTGTGCTTTTATTATTATTATTATTATTATTATTATTATTATTATTATTATTATTATTATTATTATTATTATTATTCGAATCTACTGTCTTACGCTTGTGAACCATTTTGAAGTAGTATTTCAAGACTTCAAAATAAATCAAGTTTTTCGTCTGCTGTGTTGGAAGCAATGGAGTCGATCGACCTTTAAATTTTATTTTGAAGTTTCGGACCGGAAAGTGCGTAACGCCATTCATAACGTCAAATCTGTTACACCGGTCGTGTTAGCTTGAACAAGTGAATATTTTTCATTAGAAAATGTCTCACCCAACACCGTCCGAAAAACCTTCAAACCCCGAGAACCCCCGCGTCTTTTTCGATGTTGACATTGGTGGAGAAAGAGGTCAGGACATTTTAAATTAAACGAGTTTTAAGTCACTTCAACTGTTAGCTAATCGTGTTAGCGCTATTAGCATTGTGACTGGAACACCCTGTTGTATTATCCTGTGACTTCTAGAAGCTTTTTTTTTTTTTTGCACAGATAATACACAYATAATGTCAGTTACAATAAAAAAGGCATTAAACGGAATATGTTGGTGAGTGTGAAGTAAGCTGAATGATTTGTCAGAGCTTGTGTTATACATAAACACGTGTTGTTACTAATAATAGTCATAAGAAAACCAAAAGAGACGTTCTGTCTGTTTTAATCCTGCAAAACGATAATTATAACCTGAACTMCTATGTAATATAATAAATATCAAACGGTCCTATATATTTGTTTAGCAAAAGCTGAGACAAATAAAACCATTCTTATTTTTCCATTAAATTAAAAAAGGACAAGTAGTTTATTAAACAAATATAAATTATCAATAATTGTGAAATCCTCTAAGAGCTAAAGTTCGGGCTGTTTGCTGGTAGGGCTGCCACAAARGATTATTTTTATAATCGATTAATCACCGATTATTTTTTCGATTAGTCGACTAATCGGATCATATGTTAATTGAATATAAAACATACAGCTCATCACGTCAGAATGCAGCTGCTATTATATAACCATGGTTAGATTTTAGCTATATGCTAGCTAAAAATAATTGCTGTGGAAGGCAAGTTCTGCTCTGCAGATATTGTACAGGTTTCTCTTTCATTTTCTTAAAATGATCCCACACTTTTGAGCTCCGTTGTCAGGTAGCCATGATACCAGAGCCTGTCTGTATAATGTCTTGTGACGTCCACGGCCTACCCCAGTTACCACTACTGTGCATGTGTGTCAAGGACAGAAAGGCAGATGTGGCAGTGGAAGGTGTCAAAGCAGTTTGGAGAGAAAAACAAAGTAAAGAACAACAAAAAAGAAAACGATTAATCGATTATTAAATTAGTCATTGATTATTTTATTAATCGATTAGTCATCGATTAATCGTGGCAGCCCTATTTGCTGGCCTGTTTTCAGGGTTGTGTTGACATATATTCAGGAAGAAAACACATCCATATTTTGTCTCTGAAGCAGTTGTTACTACTGAGAAATCTGAGTAGCGTTATGAAGCCATTCCCAACAAAAACAAGTCCATATGTAATTAAAAATATTTAACAAGACAGTTTTGATTCTTTCTAAGGGCAGATGCTTCATCCTGGTATCTCTGATGCTCAGAGGAATTGTAAAATCTGAGAACTACCAAACAAACAAACTATGCTTTTGAAGCAATGAACAGAACTTTAAGCTCTGGTGAACTAAATGTATAAAGACATATTTTAATACATCTTAATGTCTATATTCTATGTTTTATTCAAAGGTATAAATGACAGTAGCGATTTCCTGTAAATTTAACCAGCGTGTTTATTAACTCATTTCAAACCATCCTAAAACTAAGAGTCTGTTTTTTTCCTGTCCTCAGCTGGCCGAATTGTTCTGGAGTTGTTTGCTGACGTCACCCCCAAGACTGCGGAAAACTTCCGAGCGCTCTGCACTGGGGAGAAAGGCCTCGGCAAAACGACCGGGAAGCCACTGCACTTCAAAGGATGCCCGTTCCACAGAAGTAAATAGCCGTGAACCTTTCACCTAATGTCACATTTAAGTTTGTTAATACGACACCATGAAGCTGAAAAAAAAAAACATCCAAGTGCAGTATAACTTTATTTTTAGAGCTGTGTGTGATTAAGGCTTCAAATGAGACTACTTGTAATTTCCCACTGGAAAGTGGAAAAAATTGTTTATGTATTCTAACAGTTTGCATAGTTAATTATTTGAACATGTCAGCAGCTGATGAATGTTGTTTAAAAAAAAGCCTCTTGTTTATGCTGTGCTTGTAACGAGACCACATGTTTTGTTGTTCATCGTGGGTCACCTTGGTTTGGTTTTCCATTTGTGTTTTGCAGTCATCAAGAAGTTCATGATCCAGGGAGGGGATTTCTCCAACCATAATGGCACTGGGGGTGAGAGCATCTATGGGGAAAAGTTTGAAGATGAAAACTTTCACTACAAGGTAAACTATCGAGCAGTAAAACAGACTAAATAAGCTACAAGACATTTTACAGTGTGAGAGATTTGAGCAGGTAAAAGATAAAGGCACCTTTAAATACGTTCACTATCACTAACTAATTTAACTGAGTTCATGTCATGTTAGTATATGAGGTAAATGCCTACAGAGGCAAAACCAAGTCAATTTAAATTAAAAAATATTTACTGAAGGACTGTTCAACTGGCGGCCCGCAGGCCACATCCGGCCTGCAACTAACCAAAGTTCGGCCCGCCAATTGGTTCCTTCATTTTTTAAGCCTGAACCCCCGGTTTTATACTTTAATTACTTTGAGTTCTTTTAGTTGGACACAGACGTTGTGGTATCTACAGAAACATCAGAATCTTGGATAGAAGCTGGTAAAAACCACTTCTATGAAAATCCAAGATGGTTAAAACTACAAGCAGTTGAAGACAAAACTATGAAAGTGAAAATAAAATTGTTTTAAAAATTTGGCAAGCCAGAGATGTCAAAACATTATTTGTGGTCAATATGTTTGTTTTTGAAATTGTTTTACTATCACTACTTTTGTTACATTTGTTTATTAATTCATTAGGATCCCCATTAGTGTACACCAGAGTGGTTATTAATCTTCTATTAATTTTCTTCTATTAATTGTATTAATTGTCAAGTGCCAAATAATAATCGATTAATGTTTTTCTGACGATTAACACGATAAGACTATGCCCAACCATTGGCCCCTGAGCTGTTGGCCTGGAGTAACTGTGGCCCCTGGAGATACCGTATTTTTCAGACTATAAGCCGCACCGGACTATAAGCCGCACCCCCAACATAAAAAAACAGTACACCCAAATTTGCCGTCAAAAAAGTGCATTCAACATCAAAACATAAAAAGCAAACCTTTAAGAATTAAAGTTCGGAGGAATACGGTTCATTTAACTGACCTTATTTTGGTAGTTT